TCCAGATGCAACAGGACTGATTCACATATGAACTCATAGAGACCATGGCAGCACAGGCAAAGCCTGCATAAGTTCAAACCAGACAGGGTCTCAGCACTGAGCAGGGAAAGTAGACACAGGCTCCCACCCAAACCTTATAAAGCTATCTGCAGTTGATAGCAAAGGAGAAATCAGGTTTTTTTCCCCAGTGGACTCTCACTAGGTATATTAACCACACTTCAGGGTGGTCCCCAGGCCCAGGAGTAGTTGGCCAACACAAAATGAACTCAACAGTATTTTGTAAGGGAAAAAAGCAAAGTTAAGTTAGATTTTATTAAAAAGGTTGATTCTGTAATGAAATTCTCTTTCTGGAACTACACTCTCTCAGGACATAGTTGCTAATCAAGACACCCTGAACATTTTAATGATGAGGGTACCTTAGAGAAAACAATGGAATTTCCCTTTACAGAGCCTTTACTAAGCCTCATGTGTCGAGGCAGCACTGGTGTGGGTGGTGCAGGCAGCAGACAGGCCTGATCGGATACCCTTAATTGTTAATGTTCACTGTATCCATCACATGCAGTGATTAGATCCATCAGAGGAGCAGTGCAGAGGTCATGTATCTCTCTTGATAAAGCTGCAAGCTTCCTAATAACAGAGAGGACCTTCGATCTCATCTACATAGTGCTTATCTCTATACCAGAGGAAAAGAAGGCCTTGAGGAAAGAGCAGAGGCGGAGCCTCAGAGGAGAAAAGAACATTCTCTACCTACAAATAATAAGCCCCAGTAAAACAGAGGCTATTACGAATTTGAAACCTATCTCCAAACTTCCCACTACCACCAACTGCAAATCCAAGCCCAGGCACCCAGCCCTCCACAACCCTTCTCAATGGGGGTGCTTCGTCTCCACGGCTGGTTATTTTCCTCCAATGCAAGTTCAAGAAACTCTAGCTAAGGCTTCATTGTACATGGACACTGATTCTCAGTTGCCTGAAGTTTCACACTGGTTAAACAGAGTTAACTGTCTCTGCTTCCTACTCAAACGGTTGTAAGGTCCGAGTAAAATGTAGGCACGAAAGCCATTGAGAGGAAAGCAGGGAGGTCATGTTGCTCTCACAGACTTTCCAACCCACATGCAGGGCTCCACTGAAATCCAAGAGGCCACAACAGGCCCTTCCTGAGTCTCCAGACAGACGGTGTGACTCTTCTCTGGCTAAGGAAGGGTTATGGAAGGTTTGTCTCATGGTTCCAAAGGGTGGATACTTAAGGCAGAGCACTTTGTTTCCTTAAAGATTGGTGTAACTCAGAGCAGAGGCCATGATGGTACCAAGGTGTTCTGGGAGGAGGGCTGAAGCCAGGGTTGGAGGAGACACCCTGACAATGCCACTCCAGGCAGGTGCAGATGTCTACCCCATCCTAGGCCTGGAGCATGCAGTTCGGGAGGGACCCCCAGGCAAGAGAACAGCCTTTCAAGGAGTATGCCTACCAAAATGGGGCTAGGAAGCACTTTTGCTGGCCAGGTATGACAAGAAATAGCCTTTCCCTCACCGTCATTGGCTACTGGACAGCTACAAAGGGAACAGCAGAGGCAACAAAACTTGAATTTGCTTGAGACAATGCCTACTCTTTCTGTGTGTTGTGTGTTCTGATGCCCCCCTCTTCCTTCCTCTCTCTTTCTCCGACTCCTCCCCCACATTTGTGCTCTCTTCTTTTTCCCTTCCCATTTCTTTCTTCTTGAGCTATCAGCACATTTGATTCCAGGCCCACAAGTGAGAGATAGTTGGTAAGCTAGAATGGACTTATTGAGAAATGAGCTGTGATGGCAGATCCCAAATAGTCACGAGGCTCTTTCGTCTCGTTCACTCCATACCAACCTGATTCCCTTCACAGTTACAAAGTTCTTTCTCTTCTCCAATTTTTCACTTGCCTTTTTAATAAATAGCAATCTCCATTGAAATCTAGAGTGACAGAGTGACTTTGCAAGATGTTCTGATCGTTAGAGCCACCTCGGGGCTGTTGGGATTTACTCCCCAGCTCCTGGCCGCTGTGGATTCCGTGGATCCCAGGGTAGACCTGGGAATCTATGTGACAGATGCTCCTAGGTCAGTCATCCTGGTGAGTAGGCAGTCAAGTACTCAGATGTAACCTAGTTATTATAAAGATTAAAACAAACAAACAAAAGTCTGCAACCTCTGGATGGAAAATGCTTTTGTTGAAGACAAACAGGTGCTGGCCTTGGGGAGGGACATTATGGTCACAATCTCATGCCTGCAGTTTCCGTCCCTTGTGCATCCTTGGGAAAGATCTGAGAATGTGATGATGAAGACTGGCTCTGTCACACAGCAAGTGAGAGATGCTTTTGGGCTGGGACCTAGGACATTATGTGATGATAACGTCCTGCAAGGCTTGACTTCCTTTGAGAGGTTCACTCCCTCCCAAGGGCCAGCACCACCCTCAGATGAGGACAAGCAGAAGGAACGACTGTGTGGATGCCTAGCCTTCTCTTCCTCCTTTTCTAGTTGGAGAAAGAGGGTTGGGGGTTTGTGGGGAGAGTGAGTCATCTCTGACATTCACTGTCATTTGATCCACTGGGGGTGGGGTGCAACTTTGTAGGTTTGCACAAAGTAGCAGCCACTTCACTGCCCTCTTGCTAGCAAGGCAACTCAGGAGCCTGCTGCCAGCAGGGGCCCATGTGGTGTGGAAGAGTTCTCAGAAGCCCTCCTCAGCAGCAGGACTCTGGGAGATCAAATTTGCTGCCTGTGGACTGCCTGAGCCATCCTGCCCTTTCTGGGCTCTTTGCTGCTCTGTGTGGGGCCTGTGGTTTAGCATTTCCTTCCTTTCCAGCTAGAGCCCCAACAGCCCCAACCTGGCTGTTAGAGATACTGGTGAGAAGTGCCACAGCACAGAGTGGGGGACATTTTTTTTTATAAGAGTCAAAGGATGTGGGAGCTAGTCAAAGCCTAGCTAAGCTCTGTGGGATGCAAGCATGGGTTCTGCCTCAGCTCCACCTCCCTCAGGCCTTCACTGAAATGACACCTAATTGCTGAGGGCTGGTAGTTTTAAATTGCAACACCACTATCCTCCTGTCCAAGCTCCCCCACCATCACATGAACATAGTGTTATTTTCCTACTTTGAATATTTCCTCCTTAAGCATTCATTGTTATCTAGGTAATATCATGCACCTTTAATCCCACCCTTCAGGAAACAGAAACAGGGTAATTTCAAATTCCAGGCCAGCCTGGACTACACAGTGGGACCCTGTCTCAAATAAACATTCATTCTCTCTCTCTCTCTCTCTCTCTCTCTCTCTCTCTCTCT